GTGAACTTTAAACAAGTTTTTTTCGGAGTGACAATGATGATAATTCAAGGGAAATAACATACTATCCTAAATAATGACAGAGACAGACTTGGACAATATCCTGTCGTCTGACAGTGAGGATGATAGTGAATGGGAAACCTTTATGCAAAGTAATAATACGTGTATCCAAAATGTATTGTATGAGACTGATCCCGACAACAATTTCTTCAATGAAGTAGTGGAAAACTGTAAATACTATGAAAATCTCGATGAATTTAAGATAATCAATAAACAAAATATAAATAAAACGCTATCAATAATACACCTAAACAGTAGGAGCTTGAATGCTAATTTCCAACATATTGAAAGCTATCTTCATCAATTAGACATTCCCTTTGATATTATAGCTATCTCAGAAACCTGGTTGAGCGATGATGTTAATACTCAGTTGGTCCTGGAAAATTATGTAATGTACAATACCAATAGGGAACACAAAAATGGTGGAGGGGTGGCTCTATATGTACATGAAGGCCTGCGAAGTAAAAAGAATACAAGTATGTCAATAGCAGTAAGCAATGTTATGGAATGTATCACTGTGGATATTGAGATGGAAAAAACTAAGAATGTGAGAATAAGCTGTATCTATAGGGCGCCAGATTCAAATATAGATCTCTTCATTGACATAATGGAAAACTTGTTTTGCAATCAAAGACAGAAAGACTTATTTATATGTGGAGACTTTAATATAGATGTCTTAAAGGCAAAAAGTCATAGTCCTACTGAACAGTTTATTAATTCAATGTATAGTATGATGCTGTACCCGAGAATAACAAAACCAACAAGAGTGACCACACACAGTGCTACAATAATAGATAACATCTTTACCAATATGATTACTGAAAACATTGTTAGTGGAATTCTTATTAACGATATAACTGACCACTTACCAATTTTTGTGTTCCTAGAGGGCAAGCAAAAGAAAATGTATAGCAATTTAAATGTAGCAAAATATAAAAGAGTAATAACTACGGAAACCATATGTGCTCTGAAGCAAAGTCTTGAATCTCAAAAATGGGGAAATATCATAAGTGAAAATGATGTAAACATTGCGTATGATAAATTTCTGTCTGTTCTCGAATCATGTCTTAATGAACACTGTCCTATTAGAAAACAAAACAAAATCATGCAAAACAAAAAATATTATAATCCATGGATGACAAAAGGCTTATTAAATGCCTGCAAAAAGAAAAACACTTTGTATAAAAAAATGATTAAGAAAAGAACGACAGAATCGGAAAATAGATATAAGAAATACAAAAATAAACTGACTGATATTTTGAGGAAATGCAAGAAAGATTATTACAGAGCTTTGCTCGATAGCAACAAAAATAATATTAAGAGTTTTTGGAAAGTTTTGAATGAAATAATTAAAGGAAAGCCTAAAATGAGTAATATTGTTGATTTTTATACCCACAAAAATAAGACTGTGACTAATACTCAGGAGGTTGTGGAATGCTTTAATGAATACTTTGTTGAAATTGGTCTGGAACTTGCAAAGACATTTGTAACACAAGGTGCTGCCCTAGAACAAACTGCTGTCCATGGAAATGACCGCTTCAGTTCCTTCTTCCTCAACCCAGTAGATGAAATGGAGATTTTGCAAGTTGTTGGACGGTTCAAAAACAAAAAATCACTCGACTGCAATGGCCTGGATATGAGCCTAATTAAAAATGTTATAAAGGAAATAATAAAACCAGTAACACATATTTGTAACCTGTCATTCTCAACTGCTACATTTCCATCTCTTATGAAAATAGCAAAGGTAATACCAATTTATAAAAATGGAGATAAACATTGTCTTAGTAATTATAGACCCATCTCGTTGTTGCCACAAATATCCAAAATACTTGAAAAACTTTTTGCAGTTCGATTAAATAACTATATTGAAATGAATAATTTATTGCATGAAAGCCAGTACGGGTTTAGGGAAAAACGTTCCACAGCATTGGCACTGATGGACTTGGTTGAGGAGGTAAGTAATTGTATTGAAAACAAAGACTATTCTATAGCCATTTTCATTGACTTGACAAAAGCTTTCGACACGATTAATCATAGTATCCTAATTAAAAAGTTAGAACATAATGGTGTCAGAGGTTGCCCACTACAGTGGCTGAAATCTTATTTATCCAACAGACAGCAGTTTGTCCAGATAAATGAATATAAATCTACCATGAAATGCATTTCGTGTGGGGTACCACAGGGTTCAGTGCTGGGCCCAATTCTCTTTTTACTGTACATCAATGATTTATGCTTCGTATCTAACAAATCTAAATTAGTCCTCTATGCAGATGACACCACAATTCTGTTCTCTGGAAAGAACTTGGAACAATTATTTTTTGAGATCACAACAGAAATGGAAAAATTAAAGGAATGGTTTTACTGTAACAAATTGACATTGAACTTGAAAAAAACAAAATGTATGGTGTTTGGTAACAGGAGAATTGATACTGAACTGAAATTAACACTAAACAATGAAGCAATAGAATGTGTTGATAAATATAATTTCCTTGGTGTCATCCTTGACCGCAAACTAAACTGGAAATCACACCTTAAATTCATTCAAAATAAAATTGCAAAATGTATTGCAATTATGGGAAAATCTAAATACTTACTTAATGAGAAAGCTCTTCATACTGTTTATTGCACATTACTCCTACCTTACATTAGTTACTGTACAGAGATATGGGGTAGTACCTATAAAACCAATCTTACTCCAGTTCACATTTTGCAGAAAAAGGCCGTCAGGATAATATGCAGCGCTGGTAAGAGGGAACATTCTAACCCTCTATTCATAAAATCAAAAATCATGATAATTCATGATTTGGTCAAATTTAAATCCTTACAAATAATGTATAAAGCAAGATATCGATCGCTTCCAAACAATATCCAAAAAATGTTCAGCAATAGAGACGGCAAATATAATCTGCGAGGTCCAATGAACTTTAAGAAACAAATTACAAGTGCTACCCTAAAAAGCATGTTCATCACTCGCCGTGGGGTTGATTTGTGGAATGAACTCGAGGAGGACTTGAAATGTTGTAACTCACTGATTAACTTTAAACAAATAGTAAGTTAGTAAGTAAGTTTTTATTTATATGTGTACAAAGAAAAGGTATTTAGTAATTATGCTATAGAAAATGAAGTGTAAATCTATACTACAAAAAACTATTCTTTGACTCTGAATTATATTTGTTTTTTTTGGTATTTTGTGTATATATATATATATAAAAAAAGAATATATAAATATATTCTTTTTTTTTCTTCTCTCTCCTTTGCTAGATCTGCTTCGTTCTCTTTTGTGTACACTTTGTTTGTTTTCTTATTGTACACGCAACTTGTGTTCTATGATGTATGCATTTAAATTAACTTTACCACTGTCTGTAACAACACAATTGTTGTCAAGAAAAAGAATATGAGAAAGGGGTAAGCATTAACAAGTTTTGTACTTCTGCTTACTCCTTTTGAGCTTTTCTGTGTGCCTTGCTTTATCATTGCATACAGCGCAAATTATGCCTGTTTGTTCATTGTTTTTACACAAATAGCTCAAATAAACGAAAATGAAATGAAATGAAATGAGGAGTGTATTGTTTATTATTAACTTGGCGGCAGTGGCAGGTGGCAGTCGTGTTGTGGTTTGATAAGGTGAGGGCCCCTTTCTCTCCCCCCACCATCTACCTACCTAAAATATATGTTAAGAACACAGCGATGGCGCAGCTGTGAAGAGACAAAGATCAGAAATGTGTTGGAATTTAAACAATGAACCGATCCTTTAGAGACCAACAATAAGTGCCTTTTGACCGCTGACAGTTTTGGCCACAGGTGAAGCTCCACGTTTCCAACAGATTTTCAAAAAGCAGCTCAAGATACTCTGGATTATTGCACCATCGTCAGCACATTCCTTGTTTAGTGACAGCCAGAGGCAATAGGTGCATTAGGTTTTTGGCTGTATGCGAACGTCAAACAGCGATGCCAGCTCCCAAATCAATATGTGTAATTGCAGGTAGGACTAAAAATAGAGGTTTATAGACTACACATAAGATAACAATAATTATAAAGTCACATTTGTATTTTGAATAATTTTTATTGTTTTTTGTAGAAACTGTAAAAGGCAATTTATTGAAAATATCTACATTTCTGATGCAACCATCCACAAATGAGCAACTACTGTAGTGTCCATAAAGTCGCCCATGACATTGTGACCGAACAAATTGGCTCAGACACCAGTGGGTCTGCAGAAAGTCGACATCAGTGCCACAACTAAAGTCACAGTTACCATAAATCTACTTTAACTTAGTACCTCTTATAAATACCTACATATAAATATTGTAAATGTTCTGTATAAATGAAGTAATTTGAAAAAGCTGTACATGAATGTCCCTTTGAAATAGACAAAGACAATTTCTAGACTAAGCCTTTTCTATAATGGATCCCACACTCCTGCCTCACTTCGTCACAGAATATGCACCACATATTTTTGTACAATTAGCTGGGAATGTTATAAAACAGCCGTCTATGGCTAAATAACATTTTATTAAGGCTTCTTTATACAAATTCAGTTTTCTTTGCCCTCAGTCTAAAAGCACAGGTCTCTTCTGACTGCAAGTTGTGTGAGCAGGACACAGGGCGAGCCGACAGTCCAGATCCATCAATAAGTGTCCAGAAAAATGTCCTCTGATTGAACGAAAACACAAATAAGAATAGCATACACATAGACAAAGACAATGACAATAAGAAAAAAATAAAATAATTATTAATAATATAATCATAAAAGGGTGATGTCAGCCTTTGGAAGCACTTGGAAGCTCGAGACATTTTCTACGCAAAAAATGCTTTCCAAATCGAACCTGGAACAGTCCTTACTCTCTGCCCTTGAAGCCACAAGCGCACGGCCAGTTTGGTTCTAGTGCAAAAGTCCACTGTTTTTGTTTTGTTTTCCCTGAATCTGTGGCCGTGGCCGTGCATCACTGCATGCGGTCCGGCTGGATGTGCTGCGGGGCGTAGTGCAGGAAGGCGGTGGGCGCGCTGGCCGTGGGCAAGTTTGGGTGCACGGTGGCAGGGGCTGTGGTGGCAGCGGCAGGCCCGGCAGCCGTGGTGGTGGGGCTGGTGGCGTAGCTGTATCCGAGGTAACCAGCAGCAGGAGAGGCGGCGTAGGGGTACTGCTGCTCGAAGGCGGCTTGGGCATACTGGGAGTATGCCGCGGCATAGTCCAGATATGGGTTGGAGCTGACCGAAGTGGAGAGCTGAGTGGGCAGCACCAGGCTGGGCTGCATGAAGGCCTGAGGGTAGATGTACGGCTGGGTCAACCTGGAGACAGCAAACAAGAGGTTACAATGGGGAATCTACGAGTTCCTTTGTTTAGATAAAGCTCCTGTGTGCTGAGACTCTGAATGTACACAGTCTGCTCTTCCTCTAAACTACATGACAGCTCAGGACAGATGGCTCTCCTCACTTTAAACTCAAAGCAATAAGTATAAGTGCCACTCAACACCTTCAGCACTGCTGATTGTGATACGGCCATGGTGATACGACAGTTTTTGAATCAAGGTTTCAAGATGAAATAATAGGCCAGACAAATTACAAGATTATGGGCCTAAAAAGGAATAAAACTCCTTTGTTTTCCTTCTATAATCAACATTTGATTCAGGTGTCCAGAACATACAAAGTCTTTAAATCCAGCCACTTCATCGGGACACTTATTTCATAACCGGCACCGTTATAAGTGATTGTATTAAGATCATTGTAAAATGGCAATAAATAATAATTATTCTGAGCATATAATTTATGTATTCATTATCAACATGAGTCAATATGACAAGACAACTACATGTGAATAGGCTTATTTATTTTTTACTCTAATCACAATGCAACTAAACATGTTGAAAGACACATAAAGTGACTTTTAATATTACAAGTGTCTTTGAAAATGTATTATAGTATGGGTAACATATGGGCATAATTGATTAGTGCGGGACTCATTTGCAATTTAAATTTCAAAGAAACTTGAAATACAAAAAAGGTTTAATTGAAGTAAAAGGAAGAATAAATCCTATTCCAATGGATTGGTAAATATCTTAAATCATGATTGAATTAAACCCATTTTGGCTAACCAGGAATTCTTTGGATTTTTAGTATGTTGTGCTGGACACCTCAAAAATAATCTGATCTATGGTGAAAATAGTTTACAAATAGACAAATAGAACATTATTCCATATTTGCAAATCTAGACTGAACTGGAGGACCAAGGTGACTCAGCCCGGATGTCGGTTACCAAACCTACCCAACCTGTTAGGTAGGGCCTCTAGGGATAAACGGCGGGGTGCGGGTGTAGAAGGGGGGGGTTCAAGTGTCAGCCGTTACTGGCAGCTTTTCAAACACAGACATCCCATATTTAGCAGCTGCTGTTCTTTGCCTTCAACACATATTACGGTCAGTTAAAAAAAAAATGGAATAATGGGCTGCTGACTATCACAGTGGTTGTTGGCCACAGGGGGTCACAGAGACTGCCAGGGACTTCATCAGTGCTGGGCAGGTCTCGCAGGTCACATGGAGCTGATTAGAGTGGCCGAGTCTGGGGACCGCGCTGTCTCTGCTTGTGGAGGACATTTTATACTGAACTGAACTGCTTTAACCAGTCGGATTGGAACAAGTTCAGGCAACAGACTCATACAATTCAGCCTGATCTTTTTGTATATTTCAGTTTGGCACCATTGTTTCGCCCACTTAAAAGGCACTACTGTGGATAAGCATTTTAAAACAAACCCCCCCCCACACACACACACACAAACACACAAAACTAATCCAAATATATTTACAACTTGGACTATATGCAAATGCAGGAAATCAAAAGCTCACAGGCTTCCAACTCCAGAATATAATATATCAGTGACAAGAGGTGGCTGAGGTAAGATTGGGTGATATTTAAACAGGAACAGCATAGATCAATGTTAGTTTGTTTTCAAGAACTGTTAAAAAAAGCTACGTTTTGTTTAGTCATTATGTATTTTAGTCATCCGTCATGAGCATGTCCCTTTGATGTAATCCACCCAGACAGGCATGAGAGGAAGTTGGTCCCTAGCTTTCACCCATTGAACACCTTTATGTTGTGAGAACATTTCCCCATATCACCCAGTCTTACCTGCAAGTCAGCAGCACAGCAAACGCATGCATGGAAAAGGCTTGTCATCACACACAGCCTGCCTTTTCCAATGCCACCCTTGACCACACACCCCTTCCTCCCCCCCGCCTCGTCCAGCACACACCGGTTACCACAGCAAACCCCCAAACCATGCCACAAAAGGGAAGAGAGCCAGGGCTGCAATCAGCACAACCTTGTCACACCACAAACAGGGAGAGATAGAGCGGCACGGCACACCACTGCACCTCACGGCCCGCTCAGGCCCTCAGCGGAACCGGGACACTGCTGCCGGACGGGACAAGAGGAGGCAGAGGCTTCAGGACCTCACTGGAGCCACGAGGAGGTGCGGAGAGCTGCCGTTACCATCAGCAAAACTACACCTATGTCCGCTCAAAGGGAGAGGGGCGGCGGCCAAGGCGGATGTCTGTAGATTTGAACATTTGGAATTACATTTAGGTGGTTACCGCGTAAACTGAGTAACCGTTCTCATGAAGTATGTCTATGAAGCATAGGAATACGGAGTAAGTCAATAAACAAAAACAGACCAGTCTATATGTAGGGGGGCTTATCTAAAAGACTGAAAGTTTGTAACGATCATAAATAGAATTTCTATCATGGATACAGAATAAGCATGTGTGCGGCAAATCGCAGAACATTTTGTTTACTTTAAGCATTTGATTTCCACACATGCTCACCTGCTGTGGCACATTTTAAATGTCTGCAGCAGTTTTAAAAACGTACCATTATTCAAGGGAAATTCTACATTTGCTTTCCGCAACAAAACAAAGTAAAATGTGTAGCGAGGGACTGCATGTGTCAATAATCAAAATGGCTAATACTTCTAATATATGTATGCATGGTCTGTGCTCTTGAATGCATCTGCCAGTTTGTCACAAAAGGATCCGGTTCACGGCGTTGCAGACGAGATAAGCCGCAGTTGAAATGGTTTGCTCCACTTTTTCAAAACTGGTTTTCACAGCTAAAGGGATGGTTTACATGGGTTCAAATGGAATTAAATTGGATTAAATTGGAGGAGAAAGACCTGGTTTTCACTAATTCTAACACACTCCGATTCAACAAATTTTTCAGATGGTAAATATAATTTGTTTTAAATGTATAATAATTGTTTTCTATTAGACGAAGCCTGAGTGTTGCGAACAAAGAGGGACTATTTGAAATTAGATTTCACAGAGGCATCTGGCCGATGGAAAGTGGAAGGAGTCAGTGCGCGAAGCACGACAGGAGGCTACAGTGGCAATGAAGACATAAGTAAAATGAAGGCAACCCCCCACGCACAAGTCCCATCTACACTGTGCCCTGACTGTGGCATTGAGCCCATACAAAGGCCTTCAGTGTGACGCCAGCTTTCAGAGATGGACATACATCGACGCTGCTGGGCATATGTGCTTCACTCACACTGTGTATAATGAGATGTCCTACTCTGCACTTTAGCCCAGGGCAGTCCACTGTGGACTATTCAGATCCTATGGTCAAGTTCAAGGCAAGTGCAATGGAAAATGTGAGCTAATGCTACAATTTGACAAAGATGAACGAGCTCACTATCAATGTATACAAATATCGAATAATTAAATAATAGCAGCAGCAGCGCACTAAAAAGATGTTTTCCCCCCACAAACTCAGTCACTGAACTTAAATGTAGGAATATGTAAAAGGATATAAAGGAGTTTGTCCAAAATTACCACGTATTTCATTAGTTAATATTTGGCAAATCACAGCTAGTCTTCACTGTCAAATTTTCTTGTAGACCACAGTTTTCATATCTAGGTCCCTGAGAAACAAAAATGCCAGTCTGAGTGAAAAGTGGTTGATGGGTGAAGTCAGTGGTCAGCTGCTTTTGTGCTGACCATCAGTGCACATCTGACAGGATGCCACTGTGTATTAGAAACATTTAACACTCCACTATTTGGATCTAAAAACAACTAATGACACTAGACAACATATATGACTCCAAGATGTCAAATATTCCAAAGTGGTGACAAAACGCCCTTCATCTTGTGACTCCACTGGGTGAAAACTGTCTGCCCGGAGTCAGAGGGTCAATTAAATAACACCTTAAACTTGTATGGGCCGTTTCTCCCTTTGTTGTGAACAGGTTTTGAGAGCAAGAAAGAGGAAAGGTGTTTTGTTTGCCACCTGTAGGTGTGTTTCCCAGGGAGCACCCTGCCTCATTAAGGATTAGTCCCCCCAGATTCCCCTCCCCCCAAATCTGCTTTCAACCCCCACTTCACTCACAGGTGTCAGCTTTCTGTCTCCATGAGCTACCGACTGATCTAATGAGACCAAAACATGTCAAAGCAAAATGAAGGAGAGAAAATGAAATAACTTGGGTAAAAGCAGATAATCATGTTTTCTCTCATAATAAAATAAGCTCTGTCAATAGCAAATATGTTGAATACATTTGCCTTTTAGTAAATTAATGCTATGAAAGAGTTGAGCAAAGGAAGCTGAGGTCACATCTGCAGTGTGTGGGCATGCGTTTGGACCAGTCCGCCTGCTGCTGCTGCTGCTGTTACAACTGTCCTCTCCTCATGTGCCCAGGCCATATGTTATCAAGGGCTCTGTAGGAAGCACAAAGAAATGGCCCTTGTGCGTCTCAGGGAGGTCTGTGTCTGTCACCTCCCCTCGGAGTACGGCCGACAGGTGCTGTGTGCACGGGCTGGCCTGTCTCTGGGGTGTGGGTCATGGGAGATTAAGAGGGTGTAAAAGGCGGTAATATGAGCGCACACCTGTCAGACACTGGCCGCAAAGCACCACTGTATTCTACATCTCACACGTTCACACACGGGGGACATGGTGGAGACATGGGGACTGGACACGTCCCTATTGACCTCTCCTTGTGTCCTTTTCAGATAAGGAAATGATTCACTCAGCATTTTAACTTTTGTAGTTTTAACGTCCAACATGTTAGCTGTTTAGGGATTTCCCAAAAAACAAGTTCAACTTCTATTAATAAATGGCAGTCTTGGTTTTCACAAAGACAAGTCCAAAAAGGGTAAAGATTGTAAAAACATTTTCCATAGTATGACAATTGTCTTTGTATGCAATCTGTCGCCAGGTAAATGCATAACAAACGGCTTCTTTAGTTTCCTTTGCAAATGCAATAATGTCATCTGAAGTTGAGGTGAACTTTGAAGAACACCGTGAAAGAGCCTTTGTGTTAAAGTGAAATAATTGTGGGGATAAGCAAAGGAAGGTTTCTCACCCATCATCTGTACTTCTTAGAAAGTTTTCCCGACGTTTCGTCCTCAAACTAGCGGACTTCTTCAGGGAATGAAATCTCGGACCGCGCGTTGGAGATTTCATTCCCTGAAGAAGTCCGCTAGTTTGAGGAGGAAACGTCGGGGAAACTTTCTAAGAAGTACAGATGATGGGTGAGAAACCTTCCTTTGCTTTGACTAATCCCTGTACGACTGAGAGCTTACACAAACTAATTGTGGGGATAATTCATCTTTAGAATGAGAAAAGAATCAAAGTTCAGCTAATCATTCTCTTTTGATCCAAGAAAAAGAGTAGTCCGGAATAATTTATGGGCCAAAACGATTACTGTCTGGACTTGTCCTTAAATGGTCTGTGGCCAGACCATTTAAACAGATCATCATGGGACTGTATGAAATGTGAATAGTGGTTACAGCACCGCAGCAGGAGGGACACGCGAGACATGGAGGAGCAGTCTTTAGCGCACTTAAACAGTCAGTGAAGCGAGACTCCTATGCGCCCGGCTTGGTTTCCACAACACAGATGTTTGGATCAGGCTTCTCAGTGACAGAGCAGTTAGGGCAGGTGCACGAGGCGAGCGAGCATGACAGAAGCTAACAAGTGCGTCTGACTTTCACCTCTGGAATGCTCCTCTATTACCATAGATATGTGAACAATCTCCAGGCCCTACCAGCTCAAATATGCTAATGGCGTACTGCTGGAGTTGTACACAGACACAGAAACTGACATGTACTGTCCAGGGGCCCTGTTTGTCAACGAAACACTTGGCCTTGTGGCAAAAGGGAGAAGAGAGCGAGAATGAGGTCTAGCACTCGTGGAGCTCACTTACCCGTACGGTCTCTGGATGAGGGCAGGGTGAAGGGGCTGCACTCCGATGGATAAGCCTGGAAGACAGGAGGCAGCCTGTCACACATTTGCATGTACAGAGGCGGACCACAGAACAATGCACAGAAGGGCCACAGAGAAAACAGAGGCCAAGTCTGTTTGGAGTTAAACACAACAGTTTGGAGGAGGCTCAACGCACACACTGACTGTACAACTCTCGACATGCAGGCTTTGTGTTCGACCAGCTCATTTTATGACCGACTAGTTTGGGATGTCCTCACCAAAAGGCAAAAACAACTATATGGTATTTTCAATGCACATTAACAGGACAGTTCATTGAAGTAGTGGGATAACTATGAGATTATTTATGAAGTTAACACTAAAAGAGAAATCTGCATATTGGCCTACGAGATGTATCAATAGATTCAATACACAACACATTTAATACCAAAGGAATACATTAATTTACATATTTTGGATTCATAGGCATTGGAAACAAATGTCAAAGAGTATAACTGTATTGTCTTTCATCTGAAATCATGTAGATGTTAGAAATGTGTCTGCAATTACCAAGACAAGCATACAGATGATAAAATATCATTTCTAATTAAAGACAAACTAAACAGTATAGTTTGGTCTAATCATTATTATAAAACGCCCATTTCTCACCCGGCTGCAGGCTGCGAGGCTTGGCACCCAGATAGGCCAGGTTCACATTAGCTTTCCTTCCATCAATGATCGGGTTTGGATCTTTACAGGCTCTTTCGGCTGCTGAACTTTCCGTCATAGTTACCTTAACATAGAGACAAACAAAAGTGTAAGTTAATCATGATCAAAATGGCTTCACTAATCACAAACAAAGTCTACAGTGAAACCCACAGCACAGTGACATTTCAAAGGCGCAGGCCAGGCTGCCATGGGGCAAAGCTGCTGCAATATGGATCTGGAGAAGGGCTTATCCAATTAGGAGTAAATATTAAAAGGGATTTCCATCAAACAGCCCCTCCCCTCCTGGTATTAGACAAGCAGTCTGTTTTGTCAGGTTCTGCCAACACGAGAGGTTTAGAAATCATCTCTTCAAGTAACCCCCATAGACCTGTAGCAACACAGGGAAAAAAAGGAACTGGTTTTGTCACAAGCAAGTCTTGAATTTACTATCTAGAGTGATTTGACAAAGAAATGATCATTCGTTAGATTTTATCCAGATTAATACATTGTATGTGTGTGAAGCCATAGGATAACTTGTTATCCTAGATCTAAATCCTAGATCCTCCCACATAAATTATAATTGAGAACACCATTATAATCCAAAAAAGTCAGGCAATGCAATTTTTTTATGCATTTGCCAAAAACAAAGTGATGCTCCTGGAGAACATCTTCGTAGAGATAACTTGTTATACATTGTAGACTTTGTAGAAATATCTTAGCAGGTGTGACGTTAAAAAATAACCATTAATTGATAACAAGTCCATTTCAATAATCGATTTACTTGTTATAGCCCTAAACTTATATACCTGGAATAGTCCAACTTTAAATTTGTGTATCCCTGTATATATTTTGTATGTTGACAAGCAAGCAGAATTTGCCATCACAGCAATTGTTAGGCAAGAATTTGTTTTTAAGACATACTGTGGAAGGTTTTAAGGTAAAACAGTGACATCCTCACAGAGAAAGTTGTGGCAGACATCCCCCGGTAAAGAAACTCTGTACCTTTAAACAGAACATTTAAAAACAGTCTTGACAGTGCAGGGCTGCAGAACAAAGCCACGAGCACACGAGGGTGAGCCGCTATTTACTCTGTGAGGAGCACTGCTGAGGGGGGTTTGCTAATCCACCTCTGAAGTGTGTAAAAAAAAAAAAAAAAAAAAAAAAAAAGGGGGGGGGGGGGGCTGTTGCATTGACTTTGCAGGTTTCCACATGGAGATCAGCGTTCACCCCATGGCAGCACCCACAGCGCACCGATAGCTTGTCAAACCTGTAACAGAACGTTATATCGTTTTTGTGTCAACAGACCCCAATTGTCATAAAAAGTACTGCCGCTACGGGTAAACAAGACATTTTCCATTCCTTCTTTGGTTTGCCAGGACATTGTGACTGCCTTTCCAAACTTCTGGTAAATATTTGCATTTCTGTAGTCCCTTCTGTTCTTTGTGTGAATGAAATAAGACCGTCTTTATCTCCCATTACAGACTATAATCAGGCATCTGGAGGTCACAGCTGGAATATGTGGACCAGCAAGGGTACTAAATGAATAATAATGAAAATAATAAGGAAATTGTAGAAGTCAATGTTGTCCTTGTTTCTCAAGTCTTAGAATACTCATATCAAAGGAAGGGAAGTTCTTAAAGACTCATTTTTGGTGGGAATTTCACAGCAGCCAAGATCACGGTGTAAATCACTTCATACAAAAAACTTCAGCAGTCCTTGACAATGGAGAGCACAGAGTACAAGGTCACCCTCTCAACTCCTTCAAAGTAACCATATAAAGCAAGCCATGAGAGACAGACACTTATCCCAACCAGCCATGAGCCAGGGGTGATCTGGGGGGCAAAAAAGGGGGGCATCATGGGACATATGTTGAAATATAATCGTCTTAGGTCTAACCATCAACTCGTGAGATCATCCTTATTACACAAAAAAAACCCACCGAGGGACCAGGGATGCTGCAAGTTGAATGCTCCAGTGGAGAAACCAATTGGCATGAGGCTTTGTTGAACAATAGATTACGTGAATTATGATTAGAACCTGTGCAAAATGAACAATTTTACAGTAATGATCACACACATTGGATGGGCGAAGAAGTCAATGTACAAACAAACTACATAGGAGAAGGTTGTTTGTTTACAGTCTGCAAATGAGCCTAACTTCAGAATTAATGATCACTCAAATCGCGCCCATCCAAACAGCCATTTGACGGCGATAACAAACAATTTTGACAGGTTTTTTGACAATCCACTTACAAATCCATATCCCCTCGACTTGCCCGTCTGTCTGTCAGTGATAACAACAGCCTCGTCGATGTCTCCGAACGCCTCGAAGTATTTTCTGAGCGAGGCGTCGTTGGTGTGGTATGGCAGTCCACCCACGAAGATTTTGGTGAGTCGGGTGTCCCTCTGGAGCGGCATGACTTCGTCCAGGGCTCCGTTCATGTACTGGTGCAGAAGCATTGGTCCGATCTCCTTTGACGACACCTGCAGCTCTCAATAACGCCACATCAGAACAACAACAGGTCGTTTCACTGCGTTAAATAAGCTACAGCGTTGAGAAGGCGGTACAGTCCGGTGTTGGTCTCCTGTTGATGTCACTGAGTAAATGTGCCGCGGCCGCTTCACGGGGACGCTTTATTTGCTGGAGGTATGGTCCCGCCCACTCACAACTCTTGACCAATCAGAGGGCGCTGTCCAAAGTGTCCATTATGTCCCCCCTTGCACCTGCTTTTGTCCCGGCAGTTCACAAAGAAGTCTGCGATTAACAGTAAAAGCAGTTGTTGGTTTTAAATATATTCGCACAAATATATTATAATGGATACAACACGGTAAAAACGTGCCAACCTGCCTTTATTACGAAGCTAAGTCAGATCACGAGTTATGTTTTATTCCTAACGTAGTTCTGCCAAATACCTCTACAGCAGCCATTCCCAAACTCAGTAACACCGAGGCCCCCTTAAAAATCTGACGGGTCTGCGTGGCCCCCCAAAATAATAACCAAGAAGATAACATTTAGAATAGGCTCTTCTGGTTATTTTATTTTGGGGAAATAGCCTCTGCTACAAACATTGTAATACAAAAATGATTACAGTGGATTATTCAAGTCAAATAATGAACACAAATATTTTAATATTACAAACAAAACATTATAAATTTAACATTAAATAATTATATTATATTTTTATGACCTCCCGCGGCCCCCCTGCAGTACCCTCGCGGCCCACCAGGGGTCCGCGGACCCCACTTTGGGAGACACTGCTCTACAGCAGCCATTCCCAAACTCAGTAACACCGAGGCCCCCTTAAAAATCTGACGGGTCTGCGTGGCCCCCCAAAATAATAACCAAGAAGACAACATTTTATTTTGGGGAAATAGCCTCTGCTACAAACATTGTAATACAAAAATGATTACAGTGGATTATTCAAGTCAAATAATGAACACAAATATTTGAATATTACAAACAAAACATTATAAATTTAACATTAAATAATTATATTATTTTTTTTATGACCTCCCGCGGCCCCCCTGCAGTACCCTCGCGGCCCACCAGGGGGCCGCGGACCCCACTTTGGGAGACACTGCTCTACAGCATACCTTTGCCATAGCCCAAACCTTAACCAAAATAACTAGTCTTTGCGATAGTCTTCCCTCCAATCTTAGCCTGATTGTGTTATAATTTATGGTCAAGGATAAACGTTTTCTAGCATAGGCAAAAATAAAGTGACGTGGGTAATATGTGTTGGGGAAAATAAAATAAGTAAAATAAGCCACCGTTAGGAACTAAAAATATTTCCGAAGCGCGTGCAGACCATGAATATATTATTACTTCCCTGATTTAAAAACGGTTAGGAGGTAGTAATCTGTAAATCTTAAATGTTTTGTTGAAAGGATATATAAAACGTCTGGATTATAGCCTTTTACAGTAATTATTAGGGCAATCCTCACATCAAAGAAAGTCAGTTTTACTCTTCAGGTCCAGACAGGCATAATTCAGTTTAAATAATCATATAGTTATATAACACATCCGAATATCCATGAGGCATACAGCATCAAATATATTGAAAATGTATTTGCTTGGGACAGATGTTAAGGAAATGTCTATTGAATGCATAATAATTTCAAATAAATATAGTACGCCATGACCTCAAAGGCATTGCCCCTCTTTGTTTGTTTGTATGGGCACTTGACTTAAGACCCATATGACTGCTCCTCTTCAGTCCCAATCCTCGTGCCATTACTCTTGACGACCCCCATGTATCCCACTAAGCACCAGGGGCTAGTTTAACGCTAAGGTGACACTCTGATGACCTCAATAAAAAGTAATTTAAGTCACGTCTCTTCATGATGAACTGCTACACCTTTCACACGAGTACTTTGTAGCGGCCCTCTGCACCTCTTTCATATCCTGTTGATATATCCTCTGTTCCCACCAGTTTTCTCCTATTTATGTTAACCAGGAAAAGAAATACGCTTTGATCTCACACAGAATTTTCCCGAAGTTCATCTCTAAAGCGCCGCCTGCTGGCAACTCTGCATTTAGGGATATCAAAAGTAATGTAGACAATAAATGATATAGTTAAAATACTTTTCACCATTTCCTACTAGAGTGAAGAAATTGAAATAGGGCAAAATAAGTATGTTGAATGACAGTGAATGCACTTGTTTATTTGACATCCTAACCCATATACGAGTTAAATCATAAAACAGCCTATAAGAAACGTCTTTGGAGATCAGTATAAAATAAGATGTACACATAAAGAGAATCATGATGAGTGGCAATATCTCTCCCTTTGATGACCACAAAGACAAACTGTAACATATTATCACCAAGCGGGTTGGTTTCCTCTCATTGGTCCATGCATTGTACCCAGCACCACAGCATTGGTCCATTTGTTTGCCGAAAGGAAGTAGTCTGTCTGGGGTGTATACAAACAATAAAGCAGCAGGTCTTCTGCAAGTCTTCACAAGAGATGAAAGTTGTGGCGCGACGAATCTAAAGACAGGAGCAAAGAGTTTAACATTTTATTAATTATCTGCACATGAGTAATGGTTTAGGTTATTCAAATGACTAAATATTCCCATCGCATTGAAGGAGAATGCTTGGGGATGCGTGAATTAGGTTCAAATTATACAAAATATAAGTTATATAAATTAAATTTAAAAACATTAAATGTAAGATAATTTTGTATAATCTATTGCAAATTCAAATAAATTGTCTTAAGAACGGATATTTGTTTGATAATGTTAAAAGGGAGTGTTGCATCCTTGAAACAAATACTACATGGTAACTGAAATGCATCAATCCCAGGAGTGCAAAAAACATTCACAAGGCTATCCGTCTTGCCACATGTGTCAGGGAGCGCCACATGGCTCTCAGGACTTTGAGGACGTGGACAACCTCTGCTCCAGGTTCAGGAAGTGTGGCTGTCCTTCTCTCACCATTTCTTGTTTCGTGGTTTCAGCTCCTCCGCAGCATTTCTTAAGAAGATATAGTTCTTCTTTTGTGGGTTATAGTACTCATGGCCCTAAAAATATAGATATTAGCAGTTTTACATTAAAGTGGTCATGTTTGGAAGAGACATTATGAGAGACATACAATCATTTACCCATGTTATAACGGTTTTCCCCGGGCAGTTATCACAGTAGGTGAAGCCACTGACATTCTCGATATATAGATATAGATATAGATATATATATATATATATATCTATATTATATATATATATATACATACAGTGCCTTGCGAAAGTATTCGCCCCCCTTGAACCTTTTGCCACATTTCAGGCTTCAAACATAAAGATATAAAATTTAATTTTTTTGTCATGAATCAACAAGTGGGACACAATCGTGAAGTGGAACAAAATTTATTGGATAATTTAAACTTTTTTAACAAATAAACTGAAAAGTGGGGCGTGCAATAATATTCGGCCCCGTTACTTTCAGTGCAGCAAACTCAGTCCAGAAGTTCAGTGAGGATCTTTGAATGATCCAATGTTGTCCTAAATGACTGATGATGATAAATAGAATGCACCTGTGTGTAATCAAGTCTCCGTATAAATGCACCTGCTCTTTGATAGTCTCAGGGTTCTGTTTAAAGCGCAGAGAGAACCATGAAGACAAAGGAACACACCAGGCAGGTCCGAGATACTGTTGTGGAGAAGTTCAAAGCCGGATTTGGATACAAAAATATTTCCCAAGCTTTAAACATCTCAAGGAGCACTGTGCATGCAATTATATTGAAATGGAAGGAGTATCAGACCACTGCAAATCTACCAAGACACGGCCGTCCCTCCAAACTTTCATCTCAAACAAGGAGAAGACTGATCAGAGATGCAGCCAAGAGGCCCATGATCACTCTGGATGAACTGCAGATAACTACAGCTGAGGTGGGAGAGTCTGTCCATAGGACAACAATCAGTCGTGCACTGCACAAATCTGGCCGTTATGGAAGAGTGGCAAGAAGAAAGCCATTTCTCAAAGATACCCATAAAAAGTCTCGTTTAAAGTTTGCCACAAGCCACCTGGGAGACACACCAAACATGTGGAAGAAGGTGCTCTGGTCAGATGAAACCAAAATCAAACTTTTTGGCCACAATGCAAAACGATATGTTTGGCGTAAAAGCAACACAGCTCATCACCCTGAACACATCATCCCCACTGTCAAACATGGTGGTGGCAGCAGCATGGTTTGGGCCTGCTTTTCTTCAGCAGGGACAGGGAAGATGGCTAAAATTGATGGGAAGATGGATGGAGCCAAATACAGGACCATTCTGGAAGAAAACCTGTTGGAGTCTGCAAAAGACCTGAGACTGGGACGGAGATTTATCTTCCAACAGGACAATGATCCAAAACATAAAGCCAAATCTACAATGGAATGTAGTAGTAGTAGTAGTAAGTAATCTTTATTTATATACCGCCTTTTCACTGCACATCGGAGTCTCAAAGCGGTTTACAATTGTTATTTTTTGGGAGCGGGGGTGCCAGTACAGGACGCACCATGGTTGGTTCACAATGGTTCACAAATAGACGTATCCAGGTGTTAGAATGGCCAAGTCAAAGTCCAGACCTGAATCCAAATGAGAATCTGTGGAAAGAGCTGAAGACTGCTGTTCACAAACGCTCTCCATCCAACCTCACTGAGCTCGAGCTGTTTTGCAAGGAAGAATGGGCAAGAATTCCAGTCTCTCGATGTGCAAAACTGATAGAGACATACCCCAAGCGACTTGCAGCTGTAATTGCAGCAAAAGGTGGCGCTACAAAGTATTAGAGCAAAGGGGCCGAATAATATTGCACGCCCCACTTCAGTTTTTTATTTGTTAAAAAAGTTTAAATTATCCAATAAATTTCGTTCCACTTCTCGACTGTGTCCCACTTGTTGTTGATTCTTGACAAAAATTGTAATTTTTATATCTTTGTTTGAAGCCTGAAATGTGGCGAACTGTTGAAAGGTTCAAGGGGGCCGAATACTTTCGCAAGGCACTATATATATATATATATTATATATATATATATAATATATATATATATATAAAGTATATACATGGATAACATTCTTTAATGCAGTTTGTTAATTCACATTTTGAATTGTGATAGTGTTCAACGGAATTCTTCTATTATTCAGTTCTAATATCTAGAGGAAATTCTCTTTACTATGATCTCCATTATACATTCTATGAACATTCTTAACACAATCCAAACATCTAGTACCTTGGACCAGTCATAACTGGAGGCATATGCAAAGATGTTGCCATTGTTGTTAAAACAGCATGCAGTGATGGGCTGGTCCAGCTGCTCTGAGGTCTTCAACTTGGTGCGGGCATCTTTGTCCCAGAAGCTGAAGCGTCCATCCGAGCCCACAGTGGCCAAAGTACCATGCACTGGGTGGAAGGAAATGGCATTCACCTGCAAACGGAATTAGCAATGAATATGATGCGTGGGATTAATAAGGCCAAAGCTACAAAACATACAGCATAGATATCCTGTGGAGTGGTTGTGTTGGTCCCATTGGACCGGTGGCACTTGAAGGTAAAGTTGTCTTTAGCCCTGAAAGAGAAGAAAAATAAACAATGGTACTTTGTAGAATGTAAAAAAAGGTTTTTCTTATATCTTACGGATTTGGAGGGTTAATGTAGTGAATGGCCACTCTCCCCTCGATACTTCCAAGAGCAAATCCGGTAGGCTTGTTCTGCTTGTCTTTGAAAATGGCCACACAGCGATGCTAGATGGAAACACAGACAAGGACAGTCAATACATTTGGTAAATAGTTGATCTGGAAAAAGTAAAAATGTAATGTCTTGATTATCTCTCAGATCCCACAAACACATCATGTATAGTTGGATCTCCAAAAACAGGAAATTATACTGGACTATTTGTGCTGTTAAAAACAAACCCAGTAAGTTTTAACTAACATAAATGCTTCAACTAAGTGGTGCCCAAAGGTGGTAAGAAATATGAGAACTGTTTCCCCTTCCAATTTATTTAAAGAGGCAATATGTAAAAATCTGACCAAAAGTGGTACTGCAACCACTCCCTGACTCAGGTTACAAGATATGCAGACAAATCTAGCTGGAACGATAATATCTGAACAGGCAAGAGTTTGTCAATGACAAATCTATAATTAACACCTTTATCACAAAGGCATCCCTTAGAAATCCTCATTTCATTCCTTGTTTTAGCATTATGATTTGAGAATCAAAACAAGACATTTTTGGTACTGCAGCCTGAGGTGTTACTTTACCAGTGAGATTAGCTCGATGCGGTGAATTCTGGCAACTTGGATCACAGACTTTCTGATTGGTAAAACGGGGGAGGGCGGGACATCGAAATGAAAACAATAACTTACGGGCTGCAAACCCAATTTTGAAATTCAAATATCTCGGCTGAACAACTCTTATTAAAGGAGCAGTATGTAAATATCTGGCCAAAAGTGGTACTGCAACCTCCCCCACGTTCCCTGACTCGGGTTGTCAGAGATGCAGACCAATCCGAAAGATTTTAGTTTACAATAAATCTATAACCAACACCTTTTTTCCTTGTTTTGTCGTTAATGATTTGAGAATCATAACGAGACCGTTTTTAGTTCTGCAGCCACATTTCTTTACCATGTTTCTTTACCAGAGAGATTAGCTCGATGCGGTGAGTTCTGTCAACCCTGATCACAGACCTTCTGATTGGTATCACGGGGAGGGCGGGACATCAAAATGAACACAATAACAAGATTTAGGGGCTGTAAAACTAATTTTAAAATTGTAAAATTGGTTTATTAATGCCTTTTGACATATTATGGCCATTTAATGATGACTTGACATGCAATGCTTATATATTGCTACTTTAAATTGTAAGAATAACTTATTTTCTGATGCTCCTTGAATAAGCAAGATTGGATCATGAAAGTACCTGTATTTGCATGTAGATCTGTGTTTCAAACCAATCATTGGTTTAAATTTTTATTTGAAGAATACCTGATGTTTGAGAGGAGAATCAATGCGACGGAACTCAGACGGCTGATTCTCCAGTTGGTAAACAATGAGGCCTCTTTCAGCTGTAGCTACCACTGCCATGGGATACACCTAGAGACACACATTTGAAAACAAGTTCAAATACTTTACTCAGATTAAATGAGACAAATACTACGTGCAAATAAATATAACGTGAGGAAACAGGAATTGTCTAAAAGTAACATTTAATATACAAAATACTTACCACATCTGCACAGTAACTTCTCTCTGGCATCTGCAGTGACATCATGGGATTTGAGGAGCGTGTGTCCCAGAACTAAAATATACATATTTTTAATTAGCTAATATTCACCAAACACATTTTGTTCTGGAAAGTGAGATGCCAGTGTACCTTCAGTGTTTTGTCCCAACTGCCAGTCATAACACAGTTATAGTTTGGAGCTTTAATCCAGTGAATAGATTTGATCGGACCATCATGCTGTACCCAAACAAAAAGTTAAGATTAAGTTTCTATCATCAATATTGTGCTGCTACTGTACCTGAGCTATCTGCATGGCTTGATTACTGTTGAGATCCCACATTTTGGCCGTCTTATCACATGACGCTGTGAACACTTTACTACCATCCTTTGTTTAAAATTGAAAAAAGACATTTTGTTTCAATTTATCAGCAGCTCAAAGCACATGAGTTATACTCCCACTCACATCACTCCAACAAGCATCCAGAACAGGTCCTGTGTGCATTTGTTGGGCTTTAGGGACAGTTTGTCCATTGTCCTGTACTTCCCAGCAGCGGACCTGAGAAAACAAAAAAAGTGCATATAAATAATGAATGTACAATGTTCTGGGGTAGAAGTCCAGGTTTAAGACTTACATCATTGGCCCAGGATCCTCCAATGAGAAAGTTCCCAGGCAGAGTGGGAGGACTAAAGGCCAAGCAACTGATGCTATCATCAGGAGGAGAAGACACTTCTACATCCTGTAACAATGTATAAAACCACATGGTTAGAATAACCATAATAATGTGTATACAGTTTAATTTATATGTACAGTTGTACAGACTATCAGCATGCTACACATGTTCTGATAGCACTACCTTCATGGGGTTATGACTGTCTGTTGTTGTGCTGCCAAAGACTCCTGTCCCCCCGGTTCCAAAGCCGGTGTTTGTCCCAAATAAACTCATGATGCATCAACTATTCCTCCAACAAATGCCTGCAAAGCAATGTAAAAACACATTATTGTGCAGAGGAAAAGTTTAGTACAAAGCGGTGATGACTATTTATATCTGAAAGATTGTCTAAGCAATGAATTGGATTTTAATCAGACTATCTAAAATTTAAAAAAAATGAAAACTTATGTACGTAAGTCTGAAAAAGTATATTGTACGACAGCTACATTGCTCATTGCGGCGGCTTCAGTACCAAATGAAATGTCAGAGCTAATGCTAAACATGAGTGATATTCTGAAAAAGCCATAGTTACCCAATCTGTTCACAAAATAATACTGTATAAAGAGTCATATATAAAATATACACACCGCTATATCAAAATCATCAGAAAATGCGTGAAAATATCCGTAAATTATTTGGGCTTCCCAGAATGTGGCGCTTGTTCTTCAGGCCGTCGCAGGTGGATGACGTAAGTAAGTGCAAAAAAAGAGAAGAGCAAAAAATCCGAAACGCGCCACTGGGAGGCAGTACAGGACAGACATAACACTAACCTGGTCAATTCACTGTAAACTGGGTTCATATATATACAGTCTATGGTTCATATATGTATTTTACCGACTGTGTAATATTTGGCCTTCTACTTGTAAACTATTGTCACGGAATAAGCACGTTTCCGCGTGTAGCGCTGCTAATCGAGACGAAAAGCTTCGTACTTCGATGATTCAGGTAAAGTACAGGCATGGTACGTACAGAGCAAAAATAACTGTACAGGCTCACTATGGTCGAATTAGTTGAACTGTTCTTTCTTAAATGGTAAAGTTATTTTTTTACTCTCAGGACGCTACATATAAGGCTTCGATTTTAATCTAGCAGTTTTGATTTGAAGCCTGAGATGCTATAGTTTTGACCTCTGATGAATCCATTTTCTCAACTTATAATGTACAAAGTGGGAGTTCATCTCTGCACAGAGTAAGCTAATACTGTGGCTCCTTGGCTAAAACTTCAAATTCCGCTTTATAGCGAGGCAAACAAATACGGAACTCCATATACAAATCCAAATGAACTTAAACACACGTGCAAATTTTATTTGTGAGTTAATTTCAAGCTGAATGACCCCAGAATATTTGATTTAACTCGAAATAAGAATAAGAAGAACACAGCTTTATTTCAATTTCCAGAGGTCTGATGGGTATACTTGAATTAATTGTTCAATTTATATACATTTATATTGTACGTGTTTGGGTTGGTAGCCTGTGCTTCTAATATTAGTTTATAACTGTTTTCAGTTATGAGTAGTTTCAAGCGCGTAATAGGTTGTTTGCATCGGTAGAATTGTCCTCGTTTTATTAGTTTAAAAAACTTAAGAACAAGTGAATCCTCAGGCCTATTACCAGGGGCAAAAAACATACCGGTGGTATACAAATGCAAAATAGGCTCTCAGTCCACACCCAGAGCAGACTTCTGATCATTGCATACTGATCGGTTTAATTGAGTGTGGCCAGACCCGCCCATCTCATCCTCAGCAGAAGCCCGACATAAAGATGCAGACATTCACTACAGCTCACGCACCAACTCCGCAGGAAACAGCGCTCTGTAGAAAACTTACATGTGTCACTCCTGAAGTCTATGTTTGATTCAGTTGGCGTGGATTGATATCACAAGGTATCTATTTTAATTACAAGAATTGTGCGTATAAGTTGGAATCGAAATGGTGCCAAAGGCTTTCTCCGCGGCCGTGTGCGTCTTATCTTGGCTCCACTGTGTTTTTCCCTCTCATGTCGGTTTTTCCAACTTTTCAATGGACAACGAAGTGCACTCCAGCTTCATCCAGAGGCGGCTGCGGAGCCAAGAGCGCCGAGAGATCCAACGGGAGATCCTGTCCATCCTTGGGCTCCCGCACCGCCCCCGGCCGCTTGTCCACACCAAACAAAACGCAGCTCCCATGTTCATGTTGGACCTTTATAACACCATCTCCACGGACCTCCAGGCTCCGGGACTCCAGGCCAGCAGACCCGCAGCCACGCACCCTCCCCCCGCGCTCTCTCTGCAGGACAGTCAGTATCTGGATGAGGCAGATACTGTCATGAGCTTTGTCAATATGGGTGAGTGATTTTATGCTTTACCACGAAGATGTTGGAAATTACAATTATGTATTAGCTAAGGAATTCTATCAGGGGATTTGCTAAATAAAAATGTTTGAAGTGGGCCTAACTTTTGTGGAAAATCAACCACAAAGAGACGGGATCATTGCGCACCAGAACTCCTGGAAGTTTATTCAGTTTCCTTCAGGTTTCAGTTTTTTCAGACAGAACAAAGTGGGACATGATTTATATAGTCATTTGTTACGTGTCAGATACGTCACACATAGAAAGACATACGTGTCGCATCAAGACAATCAGATCATATTAGAGTCATAACATGGATACACAATGGGACCTTGTGACTTTGAGGGCCAGATATTTTTTTTCTTGCGTTTTTCCACCTGCGTAGGCCATAGCTATCCACCATTCTGTGGCTGTCCACATAAGCTCAGTAGAATCAATTGGAAAAAAGATTTGAATTCCCAAATCCAGAGGGAGACTGTAATAGCCTATGCTTTTTAAATAAAATAACTTTAATTTTTTAAATTAAAGTACACTGGGATCAGTTCTGATATTTTTATGTTATCGACTACTTAGAGCACAGACTAGTCCCACAATTTCTCTTTAAACTGGGTCACCTAAATTTGGAACCACAACAATTAATTATGTAATAAAACATTTGTAAGGAGTTCCAGGCTCTCAAAACAGTTCTATCACTATTTTCAAATTGATGAATCTTTGGATCCGATTGTTCGGACAGAACTCTCTGAGTATGTAAAATATTTTTTTTCCCCATAAGATAAAATCAGCATGTTGTGGTCTGATTTGTTCACAAATAGCAATTATTTTTTTTTGCTTAAGCCCTTTTGCCTCTATTGGTACCAATCCAGGAGTTCCCGGCTCTACAAGACTCTCGGCATCTGAATACAATGTCAAAAAGTAATGTTTATGTAATTAGTTGTGTCATTTAACCCGATTTTCACCATCATTGTAAGTCGTGTCAACAAATGTATAAAGTTTTTAGGATGTTTTATTTAAATCATCCGGCAAAATGTCTACCGTTTTTTTTTTCCTCATCAAAATAATATTTGATAATTGATGGACTATTTAGACAAAGGCTAATGCAATGTATAGTGTATATTTCCTGTTTTCAGCAGTGGCGTGGTGCCTCCTGCTGCAGTTAGCGGATGCTGGCTGTGTGGCCTGTGTCAGGGGCACTATGTGAAGTGTTGAAACACCTCCCACAGGGAAGTTTGCATATCTGAGGTCTGATCAGTGCAGCTAATGGTCCCTAACGTAAACATGCCGAGTCCTTACAAGCAATTATAGTGTTCATAAAAACACTCCTGGTTCCATTCCCAGCTTTAATTGCGGTCAAACAAATGACTGGCAAGGTTCAGAATGTGGAGCTTCTAACGGCTGTGTGTTTTTGGTTTGGAGATGTTTTTAAAAGACTAACTCCAGACTGAGAGCTGCAAAGAAGCTGTGTATAAAGCAATTGTAAACTGTCAGGGAAGGTAAATGTGATGTCATGGCGGTGTCACTGCGGCTGCCAGCAGACTGACTCACACATGGCTTAACAAACTTTTAGTTTTTAGAATCTCTAATTCGAGTATTTAACATTTACAGACACATTTAAGAGTTTATGCACTGTAGTTACTGTTCGACGGCCATTTTCCCAGTACCCAGGGGCATTAAACAGGGGGTCCTGGCAAAGTGATTACGGAGGTGTGGGTGGCACCACTATAGTTAAATCACACATGAATTTGCGAGATCCTCTATATGTTCTATGAGTCTGTTTATAAAAGTACACTGGCTGCTGCGGTTTTCCGGCCTGTGCCTTAACGGGCCTTTTCTTGTGGTCGGCACATGTGTGTAATTTAAACAGGGATCCAAAGGGAGCCAGGAGCGGGTTTCCTCTCTCCCACACTGGCATGAACGTACGCCCGAGTACGCTTAAGCGATGTTTTGTTCAATCAAAGTTTTCTCCTTTCTTGGCCACATTGCTTCCGAGTTGTGGCAAGGATCATAAAGACAACATCTGATTGTACTCACAGCCTTTTAAGGGGAACAAACAACTAATTATTAAACATTTATCTTTGCCAACATCGTGATGGGATCTAATCAAGTGTCCACTTTGTTTCTCATTGCAGTTGAACACAATGATCGTCACTACCAGCAGCTGCAGCGTGAATTCAAATTTGACTTGTCCCGAATTCCAGAAGGAGAGGCCATAACAGCGGCAGAATTTCGAGTCTATAAGGACTTTATTCATGAACAAGATGAAAATGAAACGTTCATTATCAGCATCTACCAAGTCTTGCCCAAGTTAACCAGCAGGTACATTGTTACATCCAGGCCAGTCATTCTCAGTACAATAACTACACTGCCACACATTTCTGTTCATTTACAGACAAATACCGTTTTTGTATTAAACAGTTAAGTACTGCAGTTAGCAATGCATTGTGGGCTGCTTAACTTGAAACAATATACTGGTATGCTGTATTTTAAATGTCAATTATAAAGGGGCCAATGATAAGTCTCTTGATTGGTTGTGCTGTGAGATCTGATTGGTTCGTTTGATCGGCTGTTTAATTTCAAAGATAACAGAATCCCTCAAAAGCCTAGAGTTCTTTGCTCAAAGCTCTCCTTCACTTGAGAACACAGATGTTTGCTGTCTTACATTTTGTTTCTTCAGTGCTGAAGCAGCAGGAGCCATGTTAGCCTAAGATAACGGCTAAGTTAGCACGGTAAGTGTTTGATTAACAACATTCCAGTGTTTACAATGTCTATCAATTATTGGAAGGTTTTATGGTGGAAAGAAACTAGCTAACAGTTGACAGTGTAATGGTCTCTTATTATTGTATTGGGAATACATTTTGCATTTTCCCAAAAGGAACTCTTATAAAATTAGGAAGTGCTCTGTGAGTCACTATTGGATGTTTTAGACTGCGAGCTGTTTATCTGAGAGAGGGCCATCCTCTTTTTCTCAGTTTTCTGTCTGAAAAGGCTGATCTAAAGATTTGGCAGAGGCCAAACTACATGCACGTGGAAACTAGTGATTAGAATGGAACTGTTTTAGAACCTGGACCTAGTAAGATTCCTTGATCTTGTTCATTCAGGAAGTTCAAACTACTGCTGCATGTAATTCCCCAGTTCATTATATCATGACTCTCAAAAAAATGCAGCAGTACCAAAAGTCTATTCCTTTTTTTGGTAGATTTCACCTTCTACTGGTTGTGAAACCATCCTTCTATTTGGATGTTCCCATGTCCTGCCTCACCAACGAAACGGCTTGGAACTACAATTAAAGCTCTCATGGTTTAAAGGTAGGTTTAAATTCTCCAAAATGTGTTCGTTATTACATTTAACCAATAAAGCTTCTACAGAAACATTATGTTCCTTCAAAAGCAGCTTTTATCTCCCCAGTGCTGATGTGTGATGCAGCATCTGGTAACGTTGCCGTGGGAGAATTTGCAATAACCGCTCTTCCAAAAGAAGACTTTTGTCATCGGGTTCATTTTGCTCTTTAAAAATAAATGTTAATATTGACATTGTTTTTCTTTTTTTATAAATAAAGTGTTATACTACAATTCTATGTTGTTGTTTTTTATTATTTACTGTTTATGTCTGTGAGAGAAGTGAAAGTAACATGTACCAAGTAATTATACCGTTAAAAACAAAACTATAAAAGTATAGTGCTGGCGTTGTGTCAAGAATTATAGGAATACACTGTTTGTTATTGGATAAAATAATGTTAAAGAGCGGGAACCCTACTACAAGCTCTTGAAATACTGATTTTTACTGCCATTTAAATGACAATGTCACTTTGCATGTAACGAATCTTTATCATATATTGGTTTTTTAAATACACAATATTCTCATTATCGGAGTTTCACCTGTAGTTGTACATTTAGGGACAGATACTCATACTTTATACTGTAGATGTTGTGTTGATGAAAGAATATAGCAGCACGATCACAAGTCAAAGCTTAATGCTAAGGTCCTGTGGTTATTAACAGATATAGAGCTATAGAATGGGGGTAATTGCCTTTTATTTTGTCATTCATAGACAGGTCACAAGACCACAGGCAAGCGAGAAGAGTTACAGTCCAAAGCAGTCCCAAAAATGGGCAACACCCACAAATAAAAGGTCTGGATTTTGAAACACTATTGTAAAAAAAGACGAACTACCCCACAGCGTCGGAAAAGTGGGCCCACACGATAATGTATGTAATATTTTAGATAAATATATTACATGTCACATGACACTTCTCAAACATGCCACACACATTCATAGGTTTTCATACCTTTCATTTGTCAAAAGAATGAAAATAATTGCTTCAAAATGGCTAAATATTTATAATGTTTTGACAAAGGGGAGGGGGTAGAGAATAGGGTTTCAGATGACCACTACGAGCTGACATGAATCTCACCGGTTATTTAAAGCTTTGCTAGTTCTGTGTGAATGTTTGCAATCATTCATGTATTTCTTTCTTTCTTTGTGCAGCAGAGAGCGCTTGTTGCTGGAGCAGAGAGAAGTGTGGGCAAGTGAAGATGGCTGGCTTGTCTTTGACTTAACAGCCTCCAGTAACCTGTGGCTCCTCAACCCAGAGCACAACCTGGGCCTTCACCTGGAGCTGGAGGACGGCCACGGTCAGTCACTGTTCCTTACACAGTAAAATAACAACAGACACAGTAAAATAACAACAGACACCGTAAAACACATGTGTCAAAGTCAAGGCCCGCGGACCAAATCCAATTTGACATGGCCTGCCATTGACGCACTATTACGTTAATTGCGTTTTCCGCTATTTTCATGTTCCCAGATGTCTATTATATCTAATATCTTTGGGGATAAGCTTGAGAGCATATTGAATCGAGCCAGCAGGTGGCAGCAGCGCTCTCTGAATGGTTTGAAAACAGTTAGATGCACTTGTTGTGCCTCTTTTTTCTCAGCTTTTTGGTGATTTCAGTAAAACTTCCCTCTACTCAACTGGGGATTACAAGCTAGAAACAAAATTCTTTTTGCTGATGAAAGTAGACAGTCTATTCTTTCAGAATCTGGTTTCGGATTTCAGATAGTCATAGTACACAATATTCTGTGGGTCTTGAAAAATCAGAAACTGCTGGCAATATGGGAGTACCTGTTCTGAAATAGGCTGGCAGGCAATGAGTTAATAAACATTGAATCAGTCCAGCCCTCGGCTCGCAGCAAATTTGTTTTTTTGGCCCTCTGATGTTTTTGACTTTGACATGCCTGCTGTAAAATAACAACATTGAAGATGAAAAGAACAAGAGAGGATGTCACAAAGCTAGTTTTAGTGCAAACATGCTGTTAAGTGCAGCAGTGCTTTGTTAAGGTGCTTCACAGCTGTTGGGATAAATGTAGTCCCCAATCTTTTCCAAGTTGTCCAAATTTCAGTTTAGACTGTAGTTCAAACACTATTGTACTGTAAACTAAAACAAAACATTTGGTTCCTAAGAGCAATACCAGCACTATACCAGTAATACAGTTATATTATATAGAATATATTATTGGTTTAAAGTGTGCAGATCAGACAGTAAACAACAGATTACACGTACAAAAACACAAAGGATCTAATCACTCTATATGTAGACTGATTGTTTTAATTCATGTCTTATTTTTTAGATTAAAATTGTGTATTTTAAATAGTAACAAAATAAATTACATTTGATTTAGCCACATTCAAGGCCTTAAATTGAATTACATTTAGGAGATTGTGGCACTACATTTTTGTCCTTCAAGATTGAAGATTTCTAAATACAAATATTACAGGTCCAATTAAACTCAGTTTTTCGCCAGTATACCCCTTTGAGGCATGGGAAAATATTTTGATTTTGATTGGTTTCACATGCCACCAGGCACACGCATGTTTTTATGCCTATTATACGCCAAAATGATTATTTTAGTTGTTTTTGCTTCTTTAAGACTATAAAGAATACCAAAAGTTGACTTACTCTCTATTGAGTGTGGGTTCCCCTCTCACTTTAGTCTGTTGCAGGCCGCAGGAGGAGCCCTGACCTGTTGGGGCTGGTGACCGGCGGCAGGTCCCAGGATAAACAGCCCTTCATGGTTGCATTCTTTAAAGTTACCGAAGTGCGGCTGCGACATGTACGATCTGCCCACAGGGGGCGCCACTCGCAGCGCCAGAAACCCCAGAGGACAGTCCAGGATGCTCTGAAGGCGGTGGAGGCTGCAACTGGTGAGAATGTGTGTGTGTGTGTGTTGGACTGTGAAGGTGTATGAAAGTACACGGTTTAGATGTACATTTTTCTATTTTGCAATATAGAATGGTTTGACAAAATGTAATTTATGGCTTACAGATTTCAGTCAGAATACTGTTCGAAAAGTTTAGGTATAGCTTATGTGTTCTTGTTTGAAAGTTCATACTTTCTTTCCACATCTTTCCATTAGGAATAAATAATTAATCTTTACAGAGAACCAGACAATACACTGACCTTCTGAAATACATAAGTATTTCAAGTTTAAGTTTTTTTTTTTTTTTTGCAACAAAAACTTGCAACAAAAGATGAACTGACATGGGAAAAATCAAAAGACCAAACCAAAGAATAATCCAGGAAGGAGTTCCAAGTTTCAGCTTTTATTTTATATACCAATTGTAAGTCATTTTGAACAATCTAACAGAGAGCATGTTCAAAATATATTCAATTGGAAAAATCTGCTGTAAAAGTACCGAAGAAGTACGTGGTGGAAAGAGAGTGATGCCCCGAGCACACAGCGAGTGAGGAGAGAGGTGTAGGGTCAGTGAGTGTTTGGACCTGTGTGTGTGTGTGTGTGTGTGTGTGTGTGTGTTGTCTTGTACCATTAGCAGTAGTGTATTGTATTGAATGGCATGTGTTTTGTTGAAACCTACCTATGCTTATGTTGTTTTCAAATGTTATTGTGTTGTGTCTTGTGTTTGAATGCATGAGAAGGGATTGGAATAATAATGCGTTTGTTTCATCCAATCCCTTTTCAAGCCATGTATTTTATTGTTATTTGGTTTGTGAATATTAAGTTCATGTTGTGCATGTTGAAATCAATAAGTAGTACAGTTTAAATTTTGACATTTACAAGCTTTAAAATGTTCCCTTGCATTTGTCGTATTTCAGAAACACTTGGCTTGTCAAAAGATGGATGTCAGAAGCACGAGTTATACGTCAGCTTTCGAGATCTGGGATGGCAGGTAGGAGAATTTAATTTCTAACTTGTATTTCCATGTTGCTAATAGCATATTGAATCATTTTCTTTTGCATTTGTGTCAGGACTGGATCATTGCTCCAGAGGGTTATGCAGCGTATTACTGTGATGGGGAGTGTGCATTCCCACTAAACTCTTACATGAATGCCACGAATCATGCCATTGTACAGACTTTGGTAAGTCATCACAAACATCCATGTTTTAACTCACTGGAACTACAACTAGGCCAACGCTCCTGTTATCTATTTTATGTTTTTTATTTTTGACTAGGTACACTTCATAAACCCAGGGACCGTACCCAAACCTTGCTGTGCACCCACCCAGCTGCATGGCATCTCGGTGCTCTACTTTGACGACAGCTCTAATGTCATTCTCAAGAAGTATCGCAACATGGTGGTCCGGGCGTGTGGCTGTCACTGACCCGCCTCCATCGAGGAAGAAGTGGAAGATCTGTGAAGAATGTGGGCGATGGACTTCATAAGAATGGACCTGAGACATCATGTGGCTTGAGACACCATGTGGCCTGAGACACCATGTGGCCTGAGACACCATGTGGCCTGAGACACCATGTGGTCTGAGACAACATGCTGCCTTTTCCTACGAATGTGCATTCTTGAAAAAGACTGGGAAAGCCGTGCACTAAATAATGATGTGAGGACTGCATTGCTCAGACATTGGGTCCAACAGTACACAGCACATATGCAGTATATTACTGTAGCCGCCTGCAGAGGTCACTGTCAGTATGGGCAAGTTGAATAAAACTACTTTTTTATTTATTTTCTCTGTCATATTTCTCAGTCATATCAAGCAGAGGTGTCACACTCATTTTGGTCGAGGGCTGAATAGAATATAAAGAGCTGGTGTGGGGAAGAAAGAATAAACAGGTTTTTGTTCTTATAATTATTATTTACATTATGAAGCTATTTTGACAAATTACTTGTATAAGTTTGGATACTTTCTGGTAGATTGGTTTTGCTTCAAAAAATGTATTAATTGTTTTAGTTGAACCAAAAACTGGACAAAATATAAAGATGACTAATAGGCTTATAGTATTTTTTTTTATCTATTTACAGTTAAATACATAAACACTATGGTCGATTACCTGAGAAACCGTGTTTTAAAATTAGTTATAATATGCCCTTGCCAGCAATGCTGCTAGTTAATAATAATTATAATAATAATAACTCTAATTTCTGCTTTGGGGTTTATAAAATTATCAAATTAACAAAAAAAAGCTTCATATATCTCACTTTAGGTGTAATGAGTTTCACATTCTAAGTTAAATTACAGAAGTACGTACAAGGAATTTTTAACAATATTGGAACTTTCTGAGTTTGAGTTTATAAAGTCCTCCCTGAGTTAGCCCTGTGTACTTCATGTAGCAAGTCCCCCTAATTCCCTCTAAGCCAGGACTTATACTCAATTTATACTTTTTACATAGAAAACAACCTATTGGGTTTATTCGCTTGAATAAATTCTGTCCTGGACGTCCTTGGAGCCTCTGATCTGTTGGGGGCTGAAGAGTGCCTTTAGCGCCTCTCCTCAGCTCTACTGTTCTCCACAGGGAGTGACGTCTGGAGGCCTGGGGGCATCAGTGGCTTCTCACACCTGCCTGTCCCAGTCGGTCCAGGTGGGGTCTCAGAGTCTAGGAACGATGGAGCCAAGATGGGGGTGAGGGCCAGGCACACATCCCCCACAATAAGCTGCCGACACTGAAGGCCACACAGACGGGCCGTCCTCTGGGGCTGCATGACGACCAGCCCTTGTCCCGCACAAAGAAGGGGTATTCCAGGTGCACATCCACCAACTCCTGCTCAGGGGAGCACGCTTTATGAGGTTTGATTAATTGTAGTTTTACAGCAAGTTCAAACTGTCAACGTGTGGTTAAAGATAATGAAAGTGTTCTAGTGGAGATTAAGATTAAGAGATCCTTTACTCTTCCCACAGTTGGAAAAGTGCAGTGTTGCATCACAAGTTACAGACAGTGATGTTATATTTTGTAAACTTCCCTGTGACTCTTGGAGCTGAGTGCTGATTGGCTGAGTGAGGGCGGTTCTCTTGGATCCAAAGATATGGCGGAAGCCAAACATGTGAAAACCAAGAATAGAATCAAACTGTTTTGAGAGCCAGGAACTATGGACTTTATTGGGGTTCATTTGTTTTGTGGTTTGACAGTTGGTTCCACGGCTTTAAGTGAAGCTTTGTTGGAGTATATTGTATGTGTATCCAGATAACATTGAATTACGTTGCCTTATGGCCACACTTGTCTGTTTAATCGGGAAATAAATAGACTATAAATAATTGTGAGTGATGCTGATGCCTGCTGCTCACCTGGGAGTGCGGCAGCAGCAGCAGGCGGTACACATTGGGGCTCTGTGAGGGGTACACACTCTGCACAGGGCAGCAGCAGTGCAGCACTCGCCTCAGACGACCGTCCTGGAGCTCCACCAGAGTGCCGGCCTCAAAGTGTGGCAGCAGCCAGGGCAGTGTGCTGGCCTGAGTAGGGGCTCTTCTCACTGTCTTTCACAACAGGGAACTTTCACAAAGGGATATGCTTTGGCACAAGAGATTGACCGATATGGGTTTTTTGAGTCTGCAAATAAACAGGTGGTAGTAGGCAATGTTAATATCACAATATCCACAATTTTACAAGAATGTTTGTTTAACCCATCTGTTAGTATTAGATAGCAATATGGCCTACGTGCAGGACTGTACAAGGACTCTACAAGGACTCCATGTTATGACTATGATGTGACTGTCTCTTTGTGACACGTATGTCTTTCCATGTGTGACGTGACAATGACTATATAAACTGTGTACTGCCTTTATTCTGTCTGAGAGAAAGAAACAGGGTAAACCAGTGGAACTTGAGAGAAACTTAAATAAACTTCCAGAGTTTGGCACACCACGATCCGTCTCTGTCTGCTGAATCCCTGACAGATTTGGTGGAGAATGCGCGGCTCAGTGTGTGCCATTCTCTGGATTGTTTTGAGGGAGTTTTCTTTGTTTCTTTTTCTCGGCGTGGGAGAGCTGAGAGTATCTGGGGCCTGGGAGCGGTCCAGCAGGCTGGAGAGGCGACCGGCTCCTGGACTCTTTTTCGCTCTCTCACTATATTTTTTTTTGTGTCCTCTTTTTTGGACTGAGCGTTTAAAATTGTTTTCCCATGTCCACATTCCGGGGATTTTTGACGTGCGATTGGTCTCTGCCGATGGAAACTAGTTCCCGGTACTAGTGAGCGCTGGTTCATGATCTGGAGACCCGGTTGGACGTGGAAAAGCTGATATTTGGTGGACTTCTGACGGTGCCTGGGCCCTGTTCGACAAAAGGTAAGAGCGGACACCTGTTTATTCAAAGTCTGCTAATTGAGTGAACTAAATTATGGTCTGTTTTGAGGTCCACCAAATGTCGTATATCTATATAGATCGGATTAGGTAAGATTCAGGTCCGCCACCTCGATAAAATGGCAGTTTAAATGATCATCAGGTAAGCCACCTCGATAAAATGGCAGTTTAAATGATCAAAACAGGTTGCTACCTCGACAAAATAGCAGTTACGGCCAGAATAGTTAGTGAAACCATGGTGTAAACATAAAAGCAATAAAAAGGGAAATGTGTTAAAGGAGGCCTTTGTCACAAAAGCTTTGTAATTAACCAATTTCAGGCTGATAAATGACAAAAGTAAAGAAGCAACAATATTTCAGTGATCACGGTTTAAATTACATACAGAAAAAGGGAGTTTTTGTTTTTTAGTTTGTTTTTTTGGCGTGAACAGAGTTCACCGGAGAATGCCGAGTTTTATCTACAGTTAAGCTATGAGAGGGTTGTATCCAACAGTTGTTTTTGTTTTTTAGAAAGAGATTTTGAGTTTAAACTAGTTTGCTACCTCAATAAAATAGAAGGAAACGTTAAAGTAAGAGTGCCTTTTGTTACAAGTGTGGAAAGTGATCACTTCTAGACTTGGATGACAACAGTTTAAAGAACAACATCAGTTATATTCGCTTAAAAAGTAATCTTGAAAGTTCTTCTTCTTTCTGTTTTTGCATTTTTGCTAAAACACTACTTTCTGCCTGTGTGTGTGTGCGTCTGTGTGACGAGAACCCCCCCGCCCTCGCTGCGCTGCTGCTGCTCTGATTTAAAGGGGAGCTACTGCATTTTTTATCACATTACGGCCACATTTTGTCACATTTTTGTCACGTTGTCGTCACATTTTCATCACATTGTCGTCACATTTTTGTCACGTTATAGTCACATTTTTGTCACATTACGGTCCTATCTTTATCACATTTTTGTCACATTGTCGTCACATTTTTGTCACGTTATGGTCACATCTTTGTCACATTATGATCACATCTTTGCCACCTTATGGTCACATCTTTGTCACATTTTTGTCACGTTATCGTCACCTTGTCGTCCTATTATGGTCACATCTTTGTCAAATTTTTTGTTACATTGTCGTCACATTTTTGTCACTTTATCGTCAAATTTTTTGTTACATTCTCGTCACATTTTTCTCACTTTATCGTCACATTTTTTGTTACATTGTCGTCACATTTTTGTCACTTTATCATCACATTTTTTGTTACATTGTCGTCACATTTTTGTCACTTTATCGTCACATTGTCGTCATATTATGGCCACATTTGTCACTTTTTCATCTCGTTTTTATCACTCTTATTTTTTTCCTTTCCCCCGTGTGTACCTACACCCAGTAAAACAAGAGAAAAATAAAAACAAAGACAAAGAATAAAAAATAAGATAAAACACGAACGTAGTTAAATAATAAGAAACAATCACAAAAGAAAAAAAGAAAAGAAAAACTTTTTGTGGGGTGATTACATTTCCATTGTCTCCAACATTGAGGGTCGCCACAGGTCCTCAAATGAGCCGGCGTATCTCCTCCAAGATACCAGAGCCCGCGGGTTTGTCCTCCTCGTGTGGCATGTTCCCCAGTGGCGGCGAGTTGTCCAAATCGTTACTTGCCGACTTTTTACTCTTTGCAACCCTTCTTCTTGTCTTAATAGACATCAGTCTTGGTTCTATCAAATTATAAACCTTATTTACGGAGTCTTTTTGTTGGTTTTTCGCAGAGTCTGTTTATCTTTACCGCATGTTATAACCGGAAGCGGAAGTCGGAAGATTTTGGCTTTTCATAGTAGTTATTCCGTAAAATTTGCAAAATTTGCCATTGAACATTGTGTTATGACACAGTTAAACGTTTTAAACACCATTTAGTAAAAAGAAGTTTTGAATAGTATGTTTTTCTAAATCCAAAAATTAGTACAAAAAAGCTTTGCTTTTCTTTTTAAATCTGCTGCTTATTTTTTGAGTCCATTATTGTATCTCTGATATATTTCATAGCTGTTTGTGAGAATTTGTTCATGTATTTTTATTTCAATTACAAAAGCCGTTTTTCAAACATTTAAATTAGAATCTGTGTTAAAAGTGATTATTGATCATAGACTTCGTCTAAAAAGAAAGAGGGAATTAGGATTAGCTGTAAAAGTATTATATTATTAAGTTAAACTCTACCCAATTCACCCAATTCACATTGCAAGCGGTGACTTTTTTGTTTTGACTATGCACCTGACCTTGCTCCACAGCACAGGAGCCTGGTCTGAAATGTGCTCCAATTCATATTGACTTAATTTGAAAAATGCTGCAATTATTTTAAATTAGTAGAATATATGCTGAAATAAATGTTCAAGTGTGAAAGGGAAAGTCCATAAAGTGAAACCCAAGAACGCATTGATAATAACACACAGTACATTGTACATAATACATATTTTAAAGTTTGAAGGTTTTTGAGATTTGAGTCTTGTTTTTTATTAAGAGAGTTTCTGGTCTTAAAATGTCATCATTAGTAAGATAATAAGTAATAAGTTTATTTATATAGCGCATGCTTGGAAATCCAAGAGCACTCCAAAATTGTTTAGACTTAGAGAGAAAAACAATCTCACTCACATACTGATATCTGTTGTTTTTTTAAATTGGCCGTCTCAAGGATTGTTTTTCAGACTCTGCCACACTGTACAAGGGTCACTGCTGGACTGGACACTGAGGGATCAGAACAGCCCAGAGCAGACACCATCCAACCAGCCGCAGATCGTAAAGGCGACATAGCTACCTCCGTGTGCCCCTCCCCCACTACAGACCGATGGTTGTACTGTAAGTGGCAGTGAGACCGGGGCCACAAAGTGGGGTTTTCTGTAGGCAGTGGTGGGTGAGTTGTTTTGCAATCTGGAAGTGTGCCTACTTTGCTTGTTTACATCGAGCCAGTGTGACCTTCTAATGCAGGTGGTTCGAGGAGTCTGGAGACACAACCCCAAAATTCACACCACACATACACACACAGATGAGTGTTGTCGTTGTGTCCTTGGGCAAGACACTTAACCCCACTTTGCCCAAAGCCCCCACTGAAAGATCAAGGCCATGCTCGCACTCAGAGAGCAGCCGTCCTCCTGTGGACTCACCACCTGCAGAGGGTCAGTGAGGGGCTGGTGCTATGAGACTTGGGTGGCATCTCTGATTGCCACCCCCCTGACCCAGAAATGGATTAAAGGGTAGAAAATGGATGGATGGATGGACATACACACACACACAATCATACACTCACACACACACACATTCACATTTACATATAGATACATGAAAAAGCAGAACATGAGAAAAAGCATTTTAAAAGTTTACTCCAATGTAAACAAATATTTTTAATTGTCTATCACTTGAATCTTTATTTGAATCAGTATTTTTTGAGACCAGAAATGTTCATTTGAATTCTATATTGTCATGGGCTTAATTGACCTCTGTCTTGACATTTTTTGTTTTGATTTGTTGATTTTGTGCTGTGTGAAGTAATTACATTGATTCTGATAAAAACACAAATTAGAGAAGTAAACTGAACATTAGCAACAGCATGAATAGAAATTGTCTTTAAAGTAGAATCAAAGTGACTTAACCATAGAGAGTAACTATTGCATAACAAACTGTGTACAGGAACTGTGACACTGCACCATTGACCAGAAGTGCATCGCAAATGACCTGATGTGCTTCAAGTGAAAAGACTGTATCTGGAGATCCGATGTCCAACTGGAGAGACCAGAGCAACCCAAGTGACCTGATGTACCTGGAGTGACCAAAACCATGGCTTGGACCCTACTGATGTCCAAGATGACATCTCTCGAAATATGACCTGACCTGATGACGACTGAGACTCACCCTCAGGGGACCCTGAGGAACTGAGGACCTGAGGACCTGAGAGAAAAACCGGGGGAGTGATGTTTATATTATTGAAATCATGCCATAGATGAGTGCTAAATGAGAGCGATACTCATGATTCTTTCTTTTGTTTTTGTTTGTCCCTAGTTTCTGGACATCTGATGATCTATTGGACACAGACATTTGCAGAACAAGAACCAGCCAATGAAAAACGTCTATTGCTGATGCTATTGCTACAACCAGAACCACAACTGTGACCAAATATTCAAGTATTCAGACATCTGACAGACAAAAACTTTGAC